GAAAGTTCCAGCCCTCTGTGGTATTTAATCATGGCCCTTGAGGTCGGGATAGTTTCTTGGTGTAGGGTCACCCTTTAAACTCCAGTTAAAAGACCTACTTTTTCAAGACTCGATCATACGTCCCTCCTGGGCACACAGACCTTCCTCGTGCCCACTCCCTTCCTCAGTGGGCCATGGTGAGGGTGAGCCTGGGGCCTGCTGGCTGCCCTGGCTGGTGTTTCCACGCCCTGCTGTCTGCAGAGCATGGTGTGAACCCCAGCTCTGCTAGCACAGCTGGGAGACCGGTCATGTGACCTCCCTGGGCTAGGCCGCAGAGGAGAGGAAGAGACCCCGCCAGGCCAGGCTAGTTCCCCAGGAGACCCTTTGGTCTGAAGTGGGGAGAAAGGTGGTGTCCATGGGAAGATGGGGTCACGGATTTGGAAGCCCAAGGGGAGCAGAGGGATTAATTTTATGTTGTTTTAAACTGGTCTCAGAGGTAAACCCTAAGAAAAAGATACAAGGGAGAGTATTTTGTTTGGGAAGTGACCCCAGATGGCACTGGCAGGGGATGAGGGAAGTATGACAGGGAAGGGCAGGATACTGTAAATGAAGCGAGAGCCACCAGGTGACTGTGGGCAACCGCGACGGTTCCACTGGGCGACTCTGGGTGAGAGAGTGGTCCGCGCCTCAGACGCGCCCCACCGTGCCAGTCTGCTAGGGCTTCTAGCCAAGTGCCGCAGACTGGACAGCCCGAAGCACAGAAACGGATCATCTCACGGTTCTGGAGGCCAGAAGCCTGAGCGCCAGCCCCGCTCCGTCTGCGAGTGCTGGGGAGGGAGGGTCTGGGTTCCATGGCCGGTGGCAGTAACTCCGCTCTTCCCACGTCCTCCACGTATGTCTCTGCGTCCAAACTCCCTCTTTCTCCAAGCTTCATATGTGGCCTCACGTTCACCTCTACTTAGAAATGACCTGGTAAGCAGACAGCAGGTTGATCAGGAAGGAGGCAGAGCCTGCTCACAGAGCTCAACTTCCATTGCACCTGTGACTCAGGGCTGGTTCTGAAGTGACTGTTGGCTGAACCTAGATCCTCACAATGAACTAGGAAACAGCTTCAGAGTTTTGTCTTTCCCACGGCAAAGGCATGCTGGGTAAGGACCTAGGACGAGGAAGGGTGGCCCGAAGGAACGAGGCTGTGAAGGGCAGTCCAAGCGGAGAGAAGAGCATGTCCCAAGCTTGGGACAGGAGAGCCTCCCCCGGCAGTGCTGTGTTGCTGGAGCAAGTGTGAAGTGGGGGCAGCACAGGACGAGGCCAGTGAGGTCCTCATGTCAGAGTCAAATCTCGCGAGGCCTTAGACGCACATGAAATACTTTGGTTTTATCCTGAGAGCAATGGGAACCGCAGACCAGATTTAAGCAGGGGAATACACACTTACTTCTCTATCAAGGTGCTTTCCAGACCTCCTAGCCTGGGGAAAGAGTAACCCTTTCCTCATCCATGTTGATTCTGGGACAGGCTGAAAGCCCCTTTGTACAAATGGCCCTTTTGTACAAATGGCCCCTTCTTACTGTTTGAAACAGTAAGCTGATGTCCCTGCTCCTATAAAGCCATTAAAAAATGTCCCAAGCAGTCAGGCAGAGAGATGCCGTAACGACATTTGGGTTGTGCAGAAAGAACAAACATCCGCATGGGAACCCTGCCATGGAGGTGCACTAGCAGGAAGCAGCAGGTGATGCTGGCTGCCAACGGGGCGGGGGCGGAGGCAGGGGTGGGTGGGGAATGGGATGGATGCCAGCAGGCTTGCAAACCCCTCCTAGACGAGTGGCCCACCTACCCCACACCTTGTTCAGGACACGTAAACAGCATCACCCTCATTTTACAGAGAGAAAGCCAAGGCCCAGAGAGGGGTGTCCCAAAACACTGGGCTAGTAAGTGGCAAACTCAGGTCATCTGATGGCAATGTCCATCCTCTTTCTCAGCATCCCAGGCCTCTTACTGCCTGATTCCCTGGGGACCAAAACTGCCTGTGCTGCCCCCACTGCTCCGTCCTTGCTTCCGCATCTTTTGCTGGGACTTGTCTGCAATCAAAGGCAATGTGTTTGTAATGGCTGAGAACAGAACTCCAGCAGCCCCAGATTTACAGATGTCTAGCTTAGCATCATCAGGAGAAAAGAGCCTGTCTCCCCAGTTTCTGTATCTACCTACGGAAAAACTCTGATTGGTCTTGCTGGGGTCATATGCTTCTTCCTGAACCGATCACAAGGAAATCACAATGCTTTGATTGGCCAGCCCCTTTGGACAGGGTGGGGGGACTATGATGAGTGTCCCCTAATCCAGAGCCACAGGTAACTATTTAATCTCGATTTGAAGGGTCAGGGAAGCCTTCCCAGAGGAAGTGTCTTCTACACTGAGACCTGAAGGATGAGTAGGAGTGTCCCAGACAAACTGGCAGCAGAACACTGTTCAGACAGAGGGCCTGGCACTGCAGAGGCCCAGGATGCTCGAAGAATGTCTCACTCACAGCAGCAACTCCCGAGCTTAGTGCACGGCCTGCCTTCCCACAAGCACTCAGAGAATGCTTCGGGAATGCAATCCAGAGTTGGCTGTGTGGCCTCAGACAAGTCACCTCCCTGTCTGAACTTCTGCTTTCTCCTCTAGCTGATGGCTTTATCATCTTAACCTTTCAGAACTATGCAAGAATCTAATTAATTCAGTCCCAAATACTCAAGTTCTCCTCAGTGCTCAATTAGCACCAGGCCTGCTGGAGACAAGGCCTGCCTGCTCAGGACTAAAAAGGGCTTAAACGCTTGGCCAGATATAAGAAGGAGTCCAGGGAGGGGCCGGATAAGGGGAGAGGCTCAAGGACCGTGTGGGCAGACAACGGCTCTCCAGTCAGGGAGACTGCCCTGCTCCCCACCCCCCAATCCCATCCCCTACGTTCCACCCTCCCACCCCGTCTACCTGTGATCACCCACTGCCCTGGAGCCACCATATCTGTACCTGAGCCCATGAAGCAGCCATGCAGGGAGGGCATCAGGACATCCCTCCCTGTGCCCTTGCCCCAGAACTTCTTAACCTGAATAACAGGTTGTGACAATCTCAGCAAAAAGGAGGAGGAAAGAAACTTTTGTTTGAGTGCTGCAGAATGAACTCTTGCTCTGCCCTGTCTGCATACTTGTTCCGGGTGCCTCTGTCCCTCCCTCCCCACCCCCAAGAGGCCAGTCCTGGGCTCCAGCTCCAGAGCACCACGGGCTGGCAGGGTGAGCCATCTGGGGTCACAGGAGAACAGAGAGCCCTGCAAATGCTAAGTGGGTTGTCGGGGACTCAGCCAGAAGGGACACCAGGCTGGGAGAGCCCTCGCTACCCCTGTCCCTCCCCTGCCCCTGCTCTGAAACCAGAGTCCCCGCTTGGCATGGGCATGACAGCAAGAGGCTACCCTCCTGCCCGGGTATGTGCCCCACCTTCTACCTCTTCTCTCTCTCTAACATCAGCGCCCCCCGACTCTCTCTCTGAATCTGGGTGTACGCAATTCATATCTTTCTTTACCTCTGTTGTCCTCCGTGTCCCTGTCTCTCTCTCGCTGACTTGTCTCCTCTCCTTCTGTCAGTGTCTCTGCCATGTCCCACTCCCTCTCGTCCTTGTCTTGGTCTCCCCGGTCTCCATCTCTGTGAGTATCCACGTCCGTTCATTCGTCCGGCTAACCCTCCTCCTTCTGTCTGACTCTGTCCCTGTCCTTCGACCCGGTCCGCCCCCAGCTATCCTAAATCCTCCACGTATGGGGCACCCCACAGAAGGTCCTCCCAGCCTCATCCAGGGGCCTGGGCTCCTAGACTGTAGGTCAGGCCCAAGAGCATTCAAGAGCATATTTTTATATCTGGAAGAAAAAGAAGTTGGTCGTTTGAATCTCAGGAAGTTGTACAAAATCTCTGTGAGTGGGCTGTGCGGTTGGTAGCTTCCCAGCTCTCTCACCTAGAAGGCCCTAGAGCAGTAGGGCCCAGGCCGGTGGGTTTCTGTGACCCCCAAGTGGAAACGAGGATTTGCATTTGCTGTTGCTGTCCTTTCAATCACAGACCCAGCCAAACTGCCTCACCAGCAGGTCCCCTAGCTCATATCTGGATCCTTGGCAGTTGGGATTTGAACACCATGTCTGTTGAAATAGATTCTTAAGATAAAGAAGATTCTGGGGTGGGGAGGGGACAGGAAAAGTGGTGGGAGCAAGTCACTGCCATCAGAGACCCGTCAGCGACGCTCCAGCTGGCTGTGGAGGGTCCCAGGCCTGGGACAGTTACCTCCACCCCCACTCCGCTCCCCTGCAGCTCCAGAGTCCTGCTGGGGGGTTTCAAAGCTGCCAAATCACTGGTAACTGCCCAGCCTCTGGGGGTTGGCACAGGGGAGAGGTGGGCCCCAGGATGACCCCACCCCTGCCCAGGATTCAACCAGGAAGGAAACTCTGATTCCAACTCTTCTCTGAGACAAAAGGCACTGGCAGAGGGAGCCTGTTGGGACCGGGCAACCGGAGCTCCACCTCCGAATTCTGACTCTGACCCTCGTGAGCTGAGTAGCCCTGAGCTTAAAACCATAGTGAGTCTTCGCTTACTCACCCCTAGAATGCAGGGCTGTGAGAGTTAAAGCAGATAATGCCTTTGCAGCACCCACCACAAACTCACCTGTGATATGTGGGTCCTGATTGCTCTTCATTTTGCTAATTCAGCAAAAATCTCTTGAGTTCTGCTCCCTGATGGTTTCCATGGGGCTAGCTATCTCCGTATCTCTCGGCCGACTGAAGGGCTGAACAGGCAGGTGAACAAATGAATAATAGAGAGGGGGGGGGGGGGGAGATAATGATTCAAAAGATCATCACCCCTCCAATACCCAGGGGAAAAGAAAAGTAAGCAAAAGGGAAGAAGAAAACTCTCCCCCCTCTACAACTGAGCAGTACCTCGTTAGACCCCGTCCCTAATCTTCAGTCTGTTCACTTTCAGACCCAGGTACTGGTTTCCAATTCAATGTTCTTCTCTCCACAGGCTAACACTGACCCCAGGCCGCTCCTCACCTGGACAGGATGAGAACGTCAGGTAGGGCCAGAGCTGAGGATTATAAGGCCCATGGTTGAGGTCCAAAATCGGTTTTGGAATCATTTTTCTGTCAGCAGAGTCTGCCTGTCCTGGACTCAGAGGTCATTTGGCTGTGTCTTCTTCACACGGTCAGGCCAGAATTCCAGGAGGAAAGCAATCCAGGGTAAGCCTGGAGAAGTGAACAAGGCAACTCTCTGCCTCTAGTCTGAAGGGATGGAAAACCTTCGGCATAGTGAACTCACTCAGCTGGAATCTTGGGGATTCCTTATCTCGGAAACACCTGACCCTGACTAGAAATTAGGGGCATAATGTTTGCTTCAAGGAAGGCTCTCGTAGAATCCTCATACCATAGAACTGGGCATGAGGAGAAGCCTTTGCCTTCTAGTCTGCACCTTCATGCTGTTCCTCCTTTGTACCGATAAAGAGACTGAGGCACCAAATAGGAAATGAACAGAGTTCATTGATTGAGATTCCCAAACAGCTGTGAGGGAGTTAAGAGCACAAGTTCCAAGCTTACTGCCCTGGGTTCAAATCCCACCTCTACCACTAGCCAAGTAACCACCTCTCTGAGCTTTAGTTTCCTCATCTGTAAAGGAGAACTAATCAGTACGACCCAACACAGAGGGCTGCTGTGAGGATGAACTGAGACAGTGTACGTAAGAGCTGTTGGCACAGTGCCTGGTACAAAATGAGTGCTGTGTAACGGGGTCTCCAGGACAAAGTCTGGGGGCCTACGCCACATGCTGTCCTAGAAGAGGAGGGGCCCCACACACCTGAGCTCCCACACACAGGGTCCAAGGGGGGCTTTCTCGCCCATCCCGAGTAGCTTGAGGCCACAGAGCCAAATTCAGGGCTGAGAAGGGCGATGCCGGAGGGAGGTCAGGCAAAGGGCAGGGACCTGCCTGGTGGTTGGATTGGATTTGGGAGGCAGCTGGAGCCACCGGAGTCCTGAGGCAGGTGGGGCGGCGTATTGGAGCCCCTCCTCGCCCTCGTGGAAGAGTGAGGAAAGGCCCTGGGAGCTCGGGGTGGTCCATCCCATGTGGGGGTGCTCCCTGATGGCAGTTGGGGGTGGGGGTCAGGCAGCGATCTCTCTGTGAGGCAGGGGAGGCCACCACTGCAAGGCCAGCACGTATTCCTGTCGAGGACTTTGTGTGGTTATCTGTGGTGGCTCTCAGGGGGCGTCAGTGGCTGATGTGGGGACCAACCCACTCCCCGTAAGCCATGGGGTCAGTGCAAGGGTTACAATGCCCACCCACTCTGCCTGGACTGAGGGAGCCCAACTCGGAGAGGCCAAGCTCCCATCAGAGGTCACGTAGCAGTGGATGGCTGCCCTGAGCATTGAACATGGCCCTTCTGTCCTCTGCGGCTCACCCGCAGGGCTGTCTGCAGCAGAGCCCGCCTCCTACCCAGGGTCTGCCTCAGGTTCTCAGGCCTCACCCCCAGAGGTTCTCTCTTGGGGGGCTCAAGGACAGTGCATTTCTTTTTCTTCTGCTGGTGCCACTTGGGACGAACGTGGCCACATCATGTTACAGCATGATCTCACCATTCTGTCATTGCATGAGTCACACTGGCCGCACCTGATGGGCCTGTGGACTGGTCCACAATGTGCAGTGTGGGTGTGGTATGGACCTACAACGTGGGGGCTCACCATATGGTCTCACTGTGGGGATCTGGCAAGGACCCACATGTAGTCACGCTACATGGCCTCGCGATATGGCCTGGTGCTGCGGTCTCATGGCAGCGTCTCCTTGCTCCACAGCCCTGCTTCGCCTCCTGGCCCTCGTTTTCGCGCTGATCACCTCGTGGATCATTGTCCACAGCTATATCAGCTTCAACTGGAAAATCATCCGCATGCCCCGTTGGCTGGGTGAGTGCCACTCACTGCTGGGGACAGGGCCTGTGGACCAGGGCTAAGGGCCAAGGGCCCACTCTTCCCTCCATCTCTGGTGACCCCAGAGACATTGGCAGTATGTGGGCTTGCTTTTGGGACCCCAGCCATGGGGGGTGGCGGTGAGAGAGGACACCAGGCTGTCAAAACCCCAGAACCCGCGGGGAACAGAGAAGTGTCCCAAGGCCCTGGCCCAAGCATATGCCTACATCAAGGGCTACTCTGGAAATGTGCCCCTACAAGGAAAGACAGAAGGAGGATGAAAGAAGGGAGGGAAAAGGGAAGGGAGAAAACTGTCCGTGCGTTGAGCAGCTTCCACCTGTACTTGCTGTTCCCTCTGCTGGGGACCCCCCTGTGGCCAGCTCCTGTCAGCCTTCAGGTGTCTGCTCAAGTGTCACCCAGAGATGTCTTCCCTGGCCACATCGGCTAAGGCTGCATCCCCTCCTCCTCCTCATTCAGACCATTTCCTTTGAAGCATCATCATCAACATTTATTTGTTTACTGGGTTGTCTACCTCCACCCTCTGGAATGTCAATTTCCCGAAGGCAAGGATTTTATCTTGAGTATCCATCTCTCTAGCAGCCAGGACAGAGCAGATCCCCAATAAACATTTAATAAGTGAAAGAAAAATGGATGATAGATGGATGATGGAGGGATGACTGAGTGATGAATGAATGGGTGAACAGATGCATAGGTGATGGACAGGTGGCGGATGCCAGCTGCTTTACATGCAGTCCCCTGTACTCTGTACCAGTGCCCCATGAGGAGGTCCATTGTGTGGTGTGTAACGGACTCATGTGTGACCTCATGTCGTGGCTGTATGCATGGTCTGAGAAAGAGAAGCTCAGGGAGATTAAGAAACTTACCCAAATTTCCCTTGTAGATGTCAGAATAGGAATGGGAACCCAAGATTCCCAGATCCAAATCTTATCAAAGAAAGGAGAGAAAGGGAAGGTATTTCTATTTCTGAATTTGTCCTCCTCAAAGACCAAGAACCACCTCCAATGACACCGGCAAATGTAACAACCTGCAGAGCCACAGGGCAGCTCAGAGCCTCACAGCAATGAAAAGCCAGTCACCCCATTTCTAACACAGACTCCCCACAGTGGAGTCTCACATCCCCCTTACCTCACCCACTTGTCAGCCAGCCGGGCTCATACCCAAGGCAGGGTGATTTGTGTAGATGTGTGATGGCTACCATGTCCCCGGGCCCAGGGCTTTTGTAGACTAGAGATTGACCGGGCTGTGCCGATGGCCTTGAGAGAGATGGGCCCGGGTCAGTGATGGAGGCTCAGGGCAGCAGTGGAGATCGGGGGGGACTCCAGAGCAGAGGGCCCCAAGTACAGGTGGGCGAGGGGACAGTGTTTGAAAGGAGACCCCACAAGTTGTTTTTGTCTCAGAACTCAATTCCCTGGGGTTTGACAAATCAACACCTCCAGCCAAAATCATCAAGCACCTACTCTGTGTTAGGTCCCAGACCCTGAAATAAGGGACACGTGGCCCCAGCTGCTGGGGAGACAAACAGACTCAATTACAGAATATACAAAAACAAGTATGCGCTAACATGATCCAGAGTCTTGAGAAACTCGAAGAGTGGCAGGAAATGTTCCCAGTGGGAATCGTGGCCGTCAAACCCCACTAGTGTCCAGGATCAGGAAGAGGTGACACTCACCTCAGAAGTTCCTGGCCTGGCCACACAGACACCCGCCTTGTAGTTAATGCATTAACACAGAAATTCTTATTGCATATTGATATACAGTTGGTCTCCTCTCTAAACCAATCTGTTTTATTTCATGATACAATGCAGTTTGTTACTGCAGGAAGCACTAAGTGTCTCAAGAGATCGGGACTGAATTTATTCCAGGACCTCCCAAACCGCCGCAGGGGTCCCTGGCACGGGGGTCAGAGATCGGGAATTCCCGATTTACCTGGCCAATTCAGCAGGGTCCTTTCAGGTGGGGGCAACAAACCCAACTCTAACTGGTTTAAACTCAGTGGGGTGCCTTGTGTCTGTGACTGGGGAGTCCACGGATGTGGGGCTCTGGGGGGGGCTGGACCTGGCTGGCCCCCACAAAGCCTCCAGTCTCTATGTCCCTGGGCTCTGCTTCTTGCCGCCTAACCTCATTCCGAGGGCATCTTTCTCTCTAAGCAGGTGTGTACTGACCACCCCTCCAGATGCTCATCGTCCAGCGGGGCTGAAAGAGGCACCTCTCCCTCCCCCAGAGCTATATTTCACCCAGGGAAGGGCTGTTCCACAGCAATGTATGCAATGCAGTATTAGGACCAGTCCGGCCCGGGTCCCGGCCTACTGCTGGAGTCGTAGAGACAGGGGACAGGGGACAGGGACCCTCCAGGATGAACAGCCCTTGATGACCAAATAGAAAATGTTTCAGTGTGGAGATCCCTCCAAAAAGGAGAGTTCTCACACTCAGAATTTCTGTGGCCCCTGGGGGCCCTGTCCTCCAGGACTCGCCGTGTGGTGGGAGACCTAACGCAGAACCACAGGAACCACGGGGGTACAGTGTGAACAAGATGTCGGGAAGGCCCAGTGCAGACAGTCAGTGCTGGGGAACATCGGAAGGCGACACTGACGTGGCTGATCTACACGGGGGCCGGGGCACCGGTGCTGGGCTGGACCCTGATGGCCTGGCCCTCCCGGGGCCTTCTCCACAGCCTGTGCAGTGGGCACGAGGTCTCCACTGTGCGGGCACAACTCGCACCCGGTCCCACAGCCAGGAGCGGGGCTCAGCCTCCAGGCCATCTCACAACACACACTGGTTGTGAGACCAGGGCTCATAACCAGGGCATCTTTTTAACCGTGACAGAGTTGTGTGTATCTGTGTGTTCAAGTGCGCATGAGTGTACACACACATCTGTGTGCCCGTGTACACACAGGTGTGTATGAAGAGGTGTCAGTGGCAAGTGAGGAAGGACTCCCAGGTGAGATGGGACTCAGCTCATTTCAACACCCACCATGGGAGGGGGGCTCTGCTTGGCCTGGCCAGCAACACTCACAATTCCCGTCTTCCCAGCCCCCGCACCCGGCCCCATCCTGCAGGGAGGCCCAAAGCACTTACTCTCTAACCAAATCCTTCTGTCTTCTCTCAACAGCAGGTTCAGTCTCCAAGGAGAGCCGTAAGTATCTCCCCAGCACCCCCTGTGCCTTAGACTGAGATGATTCAGGGTCTCTAGTCCCAGCCCCGCAGGTCCCAGAAAATATCTCCTTTTCCAGAATCTGCCCGGCTCTCTTGTCCCACAGCCCAGTGTGCCTTCTGAAGCCCCTGAGCCCTGTGATGGGGAAGGCCCCTTCTCAGCCATTCAGACTGACAGGAACAGCTTGGCTGCCCCCTTCTCCAGTCCCCCCATCTTCCCTGACTCTCCCCACCTGGCTGGAATCCCTGAAGATGGAGGCTGTGCTTATTATCACCACTGCAGTGACCCCAAGCTTGGCTCATGGTTCCTGCCTGCTTCAAAGTGCCACACCAGCAGCCTATCAGGAACTACAGGAACCGCCCCACCCCAGGCAAACAGAGGGGGCGGTGATTGTCTGTGGGGGTAGAAGTGCCAGTAGTGCCAAGAGAGATGGGGCAAAGTGTTCTAGGCTCCAGGAGGGTGACCCCCTGCCAATGGGATAGGATCAGGAAAGCGTCGAGAAGGAGGTGACTCCTTCACCTCAGCTGTGCCTTGTGGAGGCAGGAACAGCCTATGAAAAGGCCCAGAGGCACGAATGCTGGGGCTGCACGGAGACCTTGGCTGCAGAGTCAGGGACCTGAGGAATGGAAAGTGGGAAGGGCAGAAATGCAGACAACTCGAATGCTGGACACTGCAGACATCTGAACAGCAAGGACCCCAGCTCCCCAGGTGGGGGCAGGGGGAAGGGAGAGACAGCTATGACGGTGATAATGGTAATGACGATTGAGTGCCCAACAGGTGCCAGACAATGTATCTGGAATTTTGCAGACATCCCATGAAATCCTGACCACAATCTTACGTAGGTGATATAATTATCCCCATTTCATAGATGAGGGAACTGAGGCTCAGAGAAGTGAACTCACTTGGCCAAAGCAACAGAGCTGTGAGTGGTGGAGTGGGAGTCAACCTCCCCACCTAGTCCAAAACCCACTCTCTCAACACCTCCTTGCAAGAGACAACACCACCAGGTCCCCCCACCCTCTGTCACCCCAACATGGTGATGACTGAGGAGGAATGCAGCTCCGGGGATGGAATTTACCTGACTGAGAGGCCTGGGAGGCCCCGTGCACTGTGCGATTACAGAGAGCAAAGACTATAAGACTGAACACAAGCCATACACCCTACACCTCCCTGAAGCCTCCTCAGTCATCTTCTGAAGTGCACAGAGTCACGGCATTTGGGTACTGAACACTCAGACGTCATCTGCTGGGAAGACGGCAAATGCAGCACGCCAGCTTCCTCCCGCCTTGCCTGCTCCCACAACAGACATCACCAATCAATCCCCAGAACTCTTTTCCTCCAAACCCACTGGATCTAATAGTAGATCCATGGCTGTTAAGAGGGAAACCTGTTTGACAACTCTGGTCTAAATCAACTTCCTCATTTTACAGTTAACAAAAGTAATGGGAGAGACTTCTGGCAAGTCACCCAGCAGATTTCTGAAAAGCAGCCCCAGCTTCCTGACACACCCCGTCCAGTGCTCAGTGTCACACCCTAAGCCACAGCACCAGGGGCTCCCACAGAGGTTGGGCAGCTGGAGCGTCAGCCCCTAAGCCGAAGCTCAAAAAGCAAACCCCCTACCTCCCAGTGACTGGGCCCCTGAGCATCAACCCCTTCATCCCTCAGCTTGACTGTGAAGCCTGGATGGTCAGAAAATCAATTCTGGAAAAGCCTGCTTAAGCCGACCTGTCGACATCAGGTTTACCAGACTTCACTGCCATCGATCAGGGTCCAGGCAAACTCCCAGGTGGTTCCTCAGGCCTGGAACAACCCCGCCAGCACAGGTGGGACCCTCTGGTCTCAAGAGTAAACCATCCTCTCTGTGAGGGGGCAGGCAGTCCGAGGTGGGACTACAGGGCTCATAAAAGGGCCCCCTTCTGAGCCTCATACTCAGCCGGCCCCACGGGCAGGGGCTGGGCTGCTTTGTTGAGGGTCCCGTCCCTGTCTCCAGCCTTCTCTCTTCTGAGCCAGAGGCCTGGGCACGAACTCTCTCCTGAACAGCCACCCAGGGGTGTCTCCACTCCCAGCCCTCCCTCTGGTGGTTAGGTCGTGGTTGAGCTCTGGTTACGGCCATCAGGTGGGTGTGCCGAACCTCAGGGTGAGGGGACAAACAGCCTAGGACAGGCATTCTGCTCAGATCAGCCAGTCTGCAAACTCAGCCAAGGAGACCGAACCCCAGCCCAGGGCGGCAGGGTGCCCTGGTATGGGCTGCATTCCTTCCCGGGAAGGGGCTTCTTTTCCTACTCAGAGGCGCCATGGGCTTGCCAAGCCTGGCAGCAGCGGGCTGTGCCCCTCAGAGGGGCACTTTTTCCTGACTCACATAGAGACTTTCCATAAACTGGCAAAGGCGCTGGAGATGATCCTCACCCTGACCACAGCAGCCCTCCTGGCCTCGGGCCCAGCCTCACCCAAAAACTCTGTGTGGTCATTCAATGAACACTTACTGAGTGTCCACTCTGTGCCAGGCACAGGAGCTATTGAAACGATTTCACAAGATAATAAATAGGAAGCACTTGCCCCCGGGCCCAGCGAACAGCAAGCCCTGGGCGTGGGCCCGCTTCCACTCCCAGCTCACACTGGCACGGCTCAGCCAGACGCCCGGCGCAGGGGCCAGAGGGGAGAGAGACTGCCCAGCTACTGCTCTCCCTTTGCAGGTGAATCTTCTCTAATTCCATGTTTACCAGTCCTCCCTAGTGTTACCTTCACAACTGTCAAGTTGTGTTAAAAACACCCATTAGTATAAATTAGAACCTGCCAGGCTGAGGGCGCACAAGCTGATGTCTCAGCTCACAAACAGCCTGCTGAGGGCTGAGTGGCTCAGCAGCCATGTTTGGGGATCCCACCTACGCGGCTCACCTTTCATCGGCCTCCTGGGTCGGCCCTGTGAGGGCCACGTGGTGAGGACGCAGGTCTCAACAGAGGTGCCACATAGTGAGCCCTCCGTGGGTTCCGAAGACCGAGGTCCTCTCCACTGAGAGGGAGCGTCAGCACTGCCTGTCTCGTCCCTGCCGTCTCCCAGAATCCAGCCCAGTGTAGGTGCTCAAGACACGAGTGACGCCTAGTTGATGATAAGAAGAACAATCAATAGTGACCTCTGCTCTCTTATTCCTTACAAGAACCCAGTGGGGAAGCCACCATAGTTATCCCACTTCACAGACAAGGAGGCTGAGGTGCAAGGAGGTTGAAGACTTGCCCAAGGGAACCCACTGGTTAGAGACCCTCCTACCCACCATGCAAGGGCCCCCAGGAGGTTGTCAACAGGGGCCTCGCTGGAGGAGGGGTGCTCAAAAGGCTGCTGTGGCCCCAGAGACATGTTCTCAAGACAATCCCCTCATCACAGCGACCTCGTAACCTCCACCACTCATTACTCCACACACACTTAGCAGGGGCCTGCGCTGAGTCGGACACTGTGCTGGGGCTGGGGCTGCCACAGGAAGCCCCAACACGTTTTCTGGGGTGGTCCGACATACCGCTGCTGCCACCAAGGTGGGTCTGTTTCCTCCCCAGGGGTCGTGAGGAACAAGTGTGACCTCAGCAAGGCCTGCCCAAACAATTTCTTTGCGTTCAAAATCCTCAGTGGGGCCGCCAACGTCGTGGGCCCCTCCGTGTGCTTCGAAGACCACATGTAAGTACCGGAGGGACTCCTGTGTTTCCCTTCTTTGGTTTCAGCCATTCATTCATTCATTAACTAACTCAGAGGCTCCAGGAGCAGAAGCTGAGACCAGCCTAGATGTTCCACATGCTTCTTTTAACTCTGGGTGATTGAGTCACAAATAGCAATAACCCGAACAGCTGGCATGTCTGCCAGCACCTAACTAACTGCCTGCAGCATCATCCTATTCAATCCCTCAACACTCCCAGAGTGTGGCTATAATTATTCCTTTTGTGAAGATGAGGGAATTGAGGCTCAGGCAGGCTCACCCAGCTATCTGCTGATAGAGCCAGGAGTTGACTCAGGCCTGTGTGGCAGCCAAGCTGCTGGGCTTCTTTTGAAGGCGGATGCCTGTGGGGAGGGTTCAAGATCAAGATCTAGGCATCAAAGTCTGAACCCAGGAGGTGCCAGGACTTGCAAATGTAAGAGAAAGGGAATAAAGGCCATGGGATAGAAAGTTCATCCTACAGAAGCAGCCAGAGATGGGGGTTTTAGTCAGGATTCTGAACCTAACTCCAACTTACACAAAGCAAGGAACTTAATGTTTCACATACATAAAAGGCCAGAGGCAGTGGGCTTCAGGATCAGCTGCATCCAGGAGTTCAAGCCATGGCATCAGGGCTCCTTCTCACACCATCCTCAGCTCTGCTTTCCTCTGTCATTACATTATTTTCTTTACTGAAAATAGGCTTCATCATGTGGAAAGGGGAGAGGCCAGAGCAGGCTGACACATTAGCCCAAGGTAGCGCCCCACGGAAAAGAGAGCTTTCCATCTAAATTGTCCCTGTAATAGTCCCCAGACAGGGTCTCATTGGCTGGCTTGGGTCGAATGGCTGTGCTTGGCTCAGTCACTGCGGCCAGAGGCACAGGATGCTCTGCTGTCCAAGCCTGGGGAAGAGGTCAGTCCTGAGAACCACATGGCCTGAGACGGAGAAAACAGTTTTCTCTAGGGACACCAGGAGACAGAGTGAGGATACTGGGCAGACAGGGACACAGTCGGGCTCCACGTGGAGAGTCACAGACACCACGGAGGACAGCAGTGACATCCTGGGTTCTGCCTTCCTCCAGGCTGTGGAGTCGGGCTGGCCCTGCCTCCACGACCTGAGAGCCCCAGGCAGGGATCTTCCCTCTTCTCGCAGCAGACTGTTCCGGTCCAAACAAGCCGTGAATGATTCCCTGTAGAATACAGCCCGCCAATCATTTCCAGGAGGAAAACAGGTGCCCGAATCACTGTGGGTGCTTCTCGATGCCTCGTGCCCTGTGGGCCCTCTCAGAGTTCCAGAGTCGTGGAAGCAGAGAGTTCAGTCCACACTCAGGACTCACTGCTGTATTTTGTTTTTCTTTCCTTCTTCAGGATCATGAGCCCTGTGAAAGACAATGTGGGCAGGGGCCTGAACATCGCCCTGGTGAATGGTGAGTTGCTGATCCACCGCCCAGGCAGCCCCCACTGTGGTGGTGTGCGTTCGGTCTCCCAGCGCTGGCTCAGCTCTTTCCACGTGCCCTGGGTCAGCAGCAGTGTCAGGAGGGGTGCCTGGCGGGCCTGTGGGAACAGAAGGATGAAAGCCCAGATCACGCCGCAGTCCAGCCGGGGCCCTGCCTGTGTACCTGTCCCAGAAGGACACGCTTCTCCCTGAGGTTTACACCAGCACCATGAAACCACAGGGACAATATGAGGTCACAAAGCTGACTGCACATCTTCATTCATTTATTCAACCAATTTTGACAACGGCCTGCGGCTGGCCTGGCTGCAACTGCTGCTTTTCTCTTCCCCCAAGTGCGCCCCTGCCGGGGAAGCCCTCTGGGACAGTCTCTGATGAGATGTTTTCAGACTGGGGCCTCCTTCCTCAGCCCTCACAAAGCCCATAGACAAAACAACCACCAACAATACTAAAAACTCACATTTTTTGAGCATTTACTATGAGCTAGCTATTTCATTTAATCTCATCATCACACTAGATTAGACCATGCTCAGAAACCCCACCGCATTCCAGGTCAGCAATGAAGCTCAGAGAGGTTAGGCAACTTGCCCACGGTTCCACGGCCAACAGAATCACGCAGATTTTAACCTGGATCTGGCTGGCTCCAGGTCTTAATCAGCCCACTGAACTCCCTCCTTAGACTAGAAATGTCTCCAAGGATATATGCCCCTACTGTATGCCAGCTGTGGGGAAGTCTGAGAAATCACTCCAACAAAAGGATTGTTAAAGATTCGTGGCTCCTTACCTTTTAGGGGGCAGAGATTACTTTGAGAAACTATTCAAACTACATCTCTTTCCCTTAATTCCAGAAAAATCCACAAATACACCTATCGGTTTAACAGGTTCATATCCCCCCTTCCAAAATGTCCCAGAGGTTTGGAAATTAGTGAATGGAAGGATCCGGGAGGAGTCCTGCAATGGGAGCTTCCACCCTCAACCCCACCCCCATCCCCACCCCTCCACTGCTCACCAGGATTCCACAAACCACAGGTGGGGGAGGGACCAGTGCGGAGACGTAGAACTGCCATCCCCTCTGCAACACCTCCATCTAGTGGCATAGAGTGAGAACTGCAATTTTTCTCCAGAACACCTGGTTCCCTGTAGCTCTTGCACCATTTGCAAAACCCACGAAGTGCAATTGAGATTACTGAATTTGGGGCACTGAATACAGTTCCACCCACCGAAAATCTCTTTCCCTCCAAGAGTTAGAGGACTCAAGTTGTAGATTTTGTATTTTGGTGGGAATAATAATGACAATTGTACTTATTTTCATTACTATTTTGACGCTAAATTGTGTCTTGTAGCTATTTTAAGTACATCTTATTCAGTTCCCACAGCCCATTGTTCAGATGCAAAAATTGAGGTAAAACTGCTGGGTTGTTCCCCCTCCTGACAGTGCTAAGGCAGCACATAGACCCAGACTGGTCGAATTCAGTTCACTTCCAGGGACCCTTTCCACCATGACCTTGTGCCTCTCAGATCAGCCCAATAGTTATTGGGCACCTGCTCAATCCTGCATGCTTCCTATGGGACCTGATTTTAATCCATTATTATTCTATTCCTAGACCTTAAACTACAGAGTACTCATTTTCCACAAAATGACAGGCAGAATGACCCATTAAAGCAAATAATTGTTATTTTCTCATCCCTTAGGCTCCACGGGAACAGTGCTGAGACAGAGCTATTTTGACATGTACTCTGGAGGTAAGCACTCTGTTGGCCATGAGGCCATGGGTGGGCCGAGTTTCCTGTAGCCTGGGGGCTCCCGGGGTGCTGGAAAGCTTGGCTCCTGCTTCCACAGAAGATTACTAGAAAGAGGCATGGTGAGGGTTCATGCAGTCCTGCTACCTTTGAAAGTCCTTTCTACTGGCTACTGGACTCTCCCAGACACAGATCCTGACACAAGGATTCAAGTAACATGTTTTATTTGGGAGGAGGTGATCTCAGGAAATATCAGTGGAGAAGTGAGACAGGGCGAGGAAAGCAGCCAGTATGGTGTGCTATCAAGTAGTTGAACACTGCAGGCAATGAGAATTCAGGAGCCAGCACAGAATACATGCCTCAGAGGCATCTTGGAGGGGCAAGGGCTCTGGGGACTCCCATCCCTAATTCTGTGGCACTTCCCACACTTGGCCTGTCTCAGGGCACCAAAGTGGTTGTGGAAGCCAAAGATCTTCAGGCAAAGAAGTGCCAGGGCTGGCATTGGAGGTCAGGCATGCGTACACCTGGAGCCTGAGGACAAAGTAAATGGCTGGGTTTGCTCTGCTAGGCAAAGGATGTTTCAGGCCGCAGGGGCCTGTAGCAAGCCAGAGGACTGGACAGGGCCTCCCAAGGCCCAGCAAGCTGCAGCTGTCTTTTCTTCTCTGCGCAGACCTGCTTTCTGAGCTTCCCTGTGCATAGATTACCCCTCAGGAAGTCATGGTCCTCCCTGCCCTGAGCAAAGCCAGAAACAGGGCACTGACTTACCTGGGCTGGAAGTCCGAGCATATAAGTTCCTGCCAGCAGCTCTGTCCAAAAACTCTGACATCTCCCAAACTGGTGGAATTAGTCCTGGGCCTCAGCAAGCAATGAAAAGCAGCAGGGTGGCCCTTTGCAGCCAGGCTAAGGTCTGGGCTTTGCAAGGACTGGTTTTCATGGGGACAAACGAATTCAGCTCAGCCCACTTCTTGGAGCCCAGCCTTCTCAGTTTCCCTCCATGTGCCTTGGGTCACCAGGCCAGCTCTGGGCTCAGGCATCCCAGGGTGCTGGGCCTGTGACCATTCACCCCAGCTCCTCGACAGCATTGGTGAAAGAGGCGTTGCTTTCACCAATCAACTGGCTTCTTTCTTCCCTCAATCCCCATCTTTGCCTCCACCTCCAGGGAAAACCTGACTTACTGCACCTACCTAAACACACAAGCTCAAGAAGGGAGAAAGCCACCAGGCAGCAAAGAGCAGGAAGCCTCTGGGATTTGCGCACAGGGGAGGGGCTGAAAGTGGGAAGGGGAGCCTGCTGCCCAGAAGTGGCAGCTGGGGCGTGTGTGGAAGGTGCTCTACAGCAGCACCCTTCCAGACAGGCAGCTGGGACCTGCCTGGACCCAGAGCTTCACGGAGCCCCACGATGGCTGTCCTCCGGCTGCATCCCATCTGCAGCCTGCCCTAGGGCCCATTCAGATGTCTTCAGACCTGTGCCCCAAACTGCAGGCCCACCCCAGGACCTAAGGGGTGGCTGTTGCTGCAAAGGGGAGGGTGGCATGGCTGCAGCTTACATGGGAGGACTGGATGTCCACACGCAGGCACACAAGGCCCCTTCTGGTGCAGGAATTTCATTACCTATAAACCAGAAGTAACTACGATGGCCACTTCATAAGACTGATGCGAGGACTAAATCACTTGCGATAACTGGTGGGCAGGACCAGCCTGTCTGGTGGGGGACCTGGGGAAGCTCGTTCAGTCTTCTCCCTTGCATTCCCTCCTCCCTCACTCTGTCCTGATTCAGAAGCAAGGAGGTCGTCTGTCAGAATGAAAAGGGAAAAAGCAATTTAAAAGATGAAACTAAGTTTTATAGTGTCTTATTATAAACGTGGATGTGACCATGGCTGATGGGGAACGAGGAACCAAATCATGGTGAGAAGAAGTCAGCCCTTCCCACAGGAGACAGAGGTCAGAACAGAAGGCACACTTCCTTCCCTCCAAACATCCACTGTCCACCCCAGACAAGAGCCAGATCTTGATACCCGCTAATGAATGCATGGTACTTTCAGAACTCTTATCTCAGGAGTTCAAGGGCCATTTCACTAACAGGGCCACCGTGGTCGTTGACTGGAGACTTTGTGTGACTGAACTGGCTGGTGGCCAGCCCTGCTCTGGGGTCTTGACTCTTCCCCTGGGTCCTTGACCTCCCCACAGAATACTAAGAATCAGGGGGCTTCGTGGGTGAGTGGCCCGTGGGCTGGCAGTCACACAGGCCCTGAACTTAAAAGAAACGTATACTGAGTTCGGTGTTCTGCCATCACAGTCCTGAAATTCTTAATAATTTTTTTAACAAAAAGCCTCACATTCTCATTTTGCACTGGATCCCTAAAATTATGTAGCCCGTCCTGCTAATAATTGTACATAATCCCACTATAGTGTACTGACTATATGCCCAGAGTCATTGTCACATTTGATCTTTACGGAAATGCTATGAGCGAAACTACTAATCCTCCTTGTTCTGCAGATGTAGCCCCTGCTTTACTCACTAGACCAGTGTTGCCTACACATCAACCATTCAAGAGCTCCTTGCACAAGTTATACCATGTCCAGAGAACCATCTGCATTATTAGTATTTTCCTTTAAATCAGCTCACTTTTTTAACCTAAATAAGTGTATCTTAAAAGGAAATTACATCATCACCCTATACTTAGCCATTATTGCTTTTTGGTCATTAAAAATAAGCACAACGGAAATAAATCAGTGTCCCAGAAGGGGGCGGGGAGCTGATGGTCCCCCCCCTCACAACTAGGTTAGCTCTCTGTCAGATGCAGACTTTTCCTGGTGCAGGATGGTGTTATTAACATAGAGCTTTGCTCTTATCGTAACATAGATACGATAGAGCTTTGCTCTTGATGTAAGTTGGAGAGTTGTAGGAGCCTAATATTTTCTCAGAGACTCCAGTTGCCCACAGCCCAGTGGGCGTGCCCTCCAAAGGAATCCAAAAAGACATATGCACCCTTATGTTCATTGCAGCATTATTTACAGTAGCCAAGATATAGAAGCAACCTAGGTGCTCATCACTAGATGAACAACTAAAGAAGATATGGTCTATATATGCAGTGGAATATTACAAAGCCATAAATAAGAATAAAATCTTTTTTCTTTTATTTAAGTATATTTCATTGATTATGCTATTACAGTTGTCCCATTTCCCCCCTTTACTCTCCGCCTCCCTGCACCCCCCTCCCACCAGCATTTTCCCCTTTAGTTCATGTCCATGGGTCGTACATATAAGTTCTTTGGCTTCTCCATTTCCCATACTATTCTTAACCTCCCCCTGTCTATTTTGTGCCTACCAATTATGCTTCTTATTCCCTGTAACTCTTCCTTCATTCTCCCTCCTCCCCCTTCCCTCTGATAATCCTCCATGTGATCTCCATTTCTGTGATTCTGTTCCTGTTCTAGTTGTTTGCTTAGTTTGTTTTTTGTTTTGGTGGGGGGGGGGGTTAGGTTCAATTGTTGATAGCTGTGAGTTTGTTGTCATTTTACTGTTCATAGTTGTGATCTTCTTCTTTTTCTTAGATAAGTCCCTTTAATATTTTATTAATAAGGGCTTGGTGATGATGAACTCCTTTAACTTGACCCTATCTGGGAAGCACTATCTGCCCTTCCATTCTAAATGAAAGCTTTCCTGGATAGAGCAATCTTGGATGTAGGTCCTTGCCTTTCATGACTTGGAATCCTTCTTTCCAATCCCTTCTTGCCTGCAAGGTTTCTTTTGAGAAAGCAGCTACAGTCTTATGGGAACTCCCCTTTAGGTAACTGTCTCCTTTTCTCTTACTGCTTTTAAGATTCCCTCCTTATCTTTCATCTTGGGTAATTTAATCATGATGTGTTTTGGTGTGTTCTTCCTTGGGCCCAACTTCTTTGGGACTCTCTGAGCTTCCAGAACTTGGATGTCTGTTTCCTTCATCAGAGTGGGGAAGTTCTCCTTTGTTATATTTTCAAATAACTTTTCAATTTCTTGGTCTTTCTCTTCTCCTTCTTGCACCCCTATGATTCAGATGTAGGGACGTTAAAGCTGTCCCAGAGGTTCCTAAGCCTTTTCTCATTTTTTGAATTCTTGTTTCTTCATTCTGTTCCAGCTGAATGTTTATTTCCTCCTTCTGTCCAAATCATTGATTTGAGTCCCAGTTGCCTTTCCTTCACTGTTGGTTCCTTGTATTTTTTTCTTTATTTCACTTCTTCCTTTATTTTGTGACCTTACTCAGGCATTTCTGTGAGCATCCTGATTACCAGAGTCTCGAACTCTGCATCTGATAGGTTGGCTGTCTCCTCATCGCTTAATTCTTTTTCTTGAGTTTTGATCTGTTCTTTCATTTGGGCCATATATCTTTGTCTTGGCACACCTGTTATGTTGTAAGGGGTGAAGTCTTGGGTATTCACCAGGGAGGGGCAACCCACTTTGCTGCATTGTGGGGCTCTATGTGGGGGAGGGGTCAGAGAGGGAACAGTGCCGCTTGCTCCGCTCTTGGCCTTCTTTCAGTCACTTCCCCCGCTCCCCACAAGCAGATTGTGCCCTTTCTGGTGCTGATTCCTGGGTGGGTGGGTTTGTGTACATTCTAGGACCCCATGGCTCTCTCCAACAGACTCTCCTGTGATGCTGGGAGTTTCTTTTCCCACCTCAACGTCCACAGGTTTTTACAGCCAGAGGTTTCGAGGCTTTAGTTTTCTGTGCTGTAGCCCGGGATTGCACAGTCTGTCTCACTTTTCAGTTGTTCCTCCTAGTTTACCCACACGCAAGTGTAGGATATTCCGGTCCACCAGCCACCACCTTGTCACATGTCCTTTCCACCCTGGCTTCCTACCCCCACTCCTCCTACCAGTCTAGGTGAATGCTTCTTTAACTTCTTAGTTGTCAGACTTCCATACAGTTTGATTTACTGACAATTCTAGTTGTTTTTTGCTTTTAAATTGGTTGTTATACGTCTTTTGGTTGTGCAAGGAAGCAAAGCATATGTACCTATGCCCTCATCTTGGCTGGAAGCACCCAAAAAGAATAAAATCTTACTATTTATGACAACATTGATGGGCCTATAGGATATTACACTAAATGAAATAAGTCTGACAGAGAAGAGCAAATACAATATGATTCCACTTATGTCTGTAATGTAAAAACAAAACAAAACAAACACACAAAACCAAACAGAAACAGACCCCAGACGCAGAGAGCACACTGATGGTTTGGCCGTGGGGCATGGGGAGGACGAGTGAAGAGGTGCAGGGCACTAAGAGGAGCAGACCCCCAGTTCTAACACACAGAAGTCACGGGACTGTAATGCGCGGCCCAGGGAGTACAGTCAACAACATGACAACACCTTTGCACAGTGACAGATGGTCACGACTTCTCGTGGTGATCACTCTGTGAAATATATAAATGTCGAATCACTATGTCGTATGTGTGAAGCTAATATAACATTATATGTTAAGTATACTTTAATTTAAAAAATTAATAAGTCAGTACAGACAAACTAGGCTCCTAACCAGTAGAGAAGGAGGCAGCTGGGGTGTGCAAAGAGCCCAGAGCTCCTGAGAGAAGACTGAGATCAGTCCCCTGGGAGAAAGTCCCTAATGGCCCTGAGACCAGTAGCTCTAAGGGCCCCAGCTGCAAATCAGAGTCACCCGAGGGACTTTCAGATCCCAGCACCACCCCCAGACCACCTGAGTGAGGACGCCCACACACCTCAGTTGGAAGCTCCATCATATCATGCTGCCTCCCACTGGGCCCTGAGTGGCAGATGGAGCTCGGCACCAGCCTCCTGGGCCACTCCTGGATCAGGAGGGCAGTAGGAGAGAATGGGAATGGCCAGCAGTCTCTCCCTTCGGTGACCAGCACCTTGCTTTCCTTCCTCCCCCAGATCCCACATTCCTGGTGAAATTCCTTAAAGAAATCACAGAGGACATGCTGGTGCTGGTGGCCTCCTACGATGACCCAGGGACCAAGTGAGTAGGGAAACTCCCTCTGCCACGCCAGAGGGAGAAGGGACCGAATCCTCTACACCCTCCATCCCTTTCTAACTCCCCACTAGCCCCGTCTTCTGGAAACTTCTCCTAAGGAAACAATCAGACGATGGCATAAAGAGATGTTCTAGGAGGTTCATTACAGCCTTGGTTACAACGGTGAAAACTGGACACACTCTCCTGTCCAATATGACAGACCAGTTATGGAAGTCATGACAGGAGGTATATGGGAAAGATTTCCATGCATTTCTAAGAAGACACACTGCACCAAAAGTGGCCGTGGGGAAAATACCTAAGGACGTGGAGGAATACTTATCCTTCAGTAGTTTTTATTTTTTATTACAGTTTGCATTCAACACTTTTTTATGTTAGTTTCAGGTGTTCATCCTATAGTATTAAGTGAAAAAAAAAAAGGCAGGTAGCCCTGGCTGGGTGGCTAGGTTGGTCGGAGTGTCCTCCTGTGCACCAAAAGGTTACGGGTTTGATCCCCGGTCAAGACACATACCTAGGTTTCAGGTTCAATCCCAGGCCAGGACATGTGTGGGAAACAATTAATTGATGTTTCTCTCTCTCTCTGTCTTTTCTCCCTCTCTCCTTTCTTCCCTCCATCCCTTCATCTCTCTCTAAATTCAGTGAATATATCTTCAGGTGAGGACTTTTTTAAAAAAGCAGGTTATGAAAGAGTTGGTGTGATCCCACAACACTCGGAATCGGGAAAAAGACATGAAAGAAATATATTAAAATTTTACAACGATTATGTCAAGGGAATGAGACTGTAATTTTTACTTACTTTGTGATGTTCAATATTTTCCAAATGAGCATGTATCATATCTGTAAACAGAAGCAAAACGGCCCTAACACCTCTCCGGCTCCCCCTGCTGGCCTTCGGAGGGGAGTCTGGGGCCCCCACCCTGTTCCTCCCAAGGTGACCCCCACGGGCTTCGGCACACGTGGCCAAGGGGCGTCCAGTGCTGGAGCAGCTCACCCTTCTCCCATCCCGCTGCCTGACTGTCCTCTCCTGTCCTCTGCAGAATGAACGATGAACTCCGGGTGCTCTTCTCCAAGTTGGGAAGCTCCTACGCCAAGCAACTGGGCTTCCGGGACAGCTGGGTCTTTTTAGGGGCAAAAGACATCAGGAGTAACAGCCCCTTTGAGCAGGTGGGTTCCTGGCAGCCTCCCCATCCCAGTGAGGGCAGCAGTGTCAGGGACAGATGGACAAGGACCGGGGTGGCTTTGGGAAGGTGTGGGGAGGGCCACTTGTCTGTCATCCAGCCCAGAGGTCAGGGTGGCCCGACTAGCTAATCCCCCAGCGGGAAGTGGCCTTGACCATTTTACAAAACTATATATGAACACATGGATTCATAAGTGCCAAAAAGGAGGAAGAGTAGAGAAGAAGGGTACAAGGAAAGTGAGGCTTGGAAGAAAGAGAAAGGAATGTGGAGAGGAAGCCTGTGCGGCGGGAAGGGGAGCCCAGAGCAGGGGTCAGAATGCCTGGCTTCTGGCCCCACTTAGCCAAGCCCCTCCTCCCCCGAGGCCCAGCTCTCCGCCGCTGGAAAGAGGGCAGGGGTTGGGCAGGGGGAGCCTGAGGTTCCTTCCAAGATCCCTGTGGAGAGGGTGGACTTGCCCCAAGAAGGGGACAGAGGAGGGCCCACCTGAGCATGAGGAAGGAGTCAGGAGGGGTCCACAATAAGCAGCTCACAGCCGCTCTCCAGGGCGGCCCGAGGAGAGGGGGTCAGGGAGGCACCCAGAAGTGGAGTTGGAGGAGTGCTCACAGGAGGAGGGGGGAGTCGACAGAGGGTTGGGGGCCCCAAGGAAACACTTCATCTTCTCCCCTTGACCAAGGCGGACCCATCTGCACATTCCCAGCTCAGAGCAATTCTGAACCCCAGGAGAACTGGCCAGGCCTTCCCCAGCATGGTGAGGAGAAGGTTCAGCTCTGCCCAGATCCAAGACAGGGAGCTAAGGATCAATGACTCAGGCACGCAGGACCACTAAGGGGCCTGGACTCTGTCTGGAAGGCCGTGGGGAGCCATGGGAAGCTTGAGAGAGAGTGAGTGACAAGAGCAGGTGGATAATAAGAAAGCCTAGCACTCAGCGAGCACCTCCTCTGCGCAGGCACCAGAGCAAGTTCCCTAAAGGGTCTTTCATTAACACCCAGGTGAGTGAGGCGTTACAGTTATGATCCCATCTCACAGAAGAGGACCCCAAGCTCTGGAGGGGTCTTAACCAGCTTGCTCTGGTCTCAGTGGTGCGGATGGATTTCTCATCCGGGTCTGCTGCCTCCACAAACAAGTGTCTCCTGTCCCGACCACTTTCAGAACAGCCGCCCTGGCTGAGCATGGAGAGCACTGCGGAAGGGGAACCTTGGGAAGGCAGGGAGGAGGGCTGCAACGATCAGACCCCCGACCAGCAGCCTGGAGAGGCAGGGGCTGCGGGGGCAGGGCGGGGGCAGAGTCAAGAGGCCTCATGCTGAAGCCAGGGAGGGCAACCCCAGTGGGGCTGCAGGGGGGTTTGCCTTGTCTAGAAAACGTGGGCCCGGTTGGTATGCATGTGTTTCTAAGAGAGGTAACTAGAAATTACTTCTTTTTTTAAGGTTGTATTTATTTATTTTTAGACAGAGGGGAAGAGAGGGAGAAAGAAGAGAGAAACGTGTGCTTGCCTCCAGCACGCCCCTCACTGGGGACCTGGCCCACAACCCAGGCATGTGCCCTGAGTGGGAATTGAACTGGTGACCATTTAGTTTGCAGGCCAGACCTCAGTCTACTGAGCTACACCAGCCAAGGCTAGAAATTACTTTTTTTAAAGCAAGAAATAACACAAAGTATGTTGTGCTAGAAGTGAAAAGGAAAGGACGCTCTGGGTGAAGAACACAGGAGGCGGGGCCAGGGTCTCCGGAAGGTCCCCGTGGGAAGTCCTCAGGGGAGGGGTGGGCACAGGACTTCCCAGGGGGTGTAGGGCAGGCACTGTTCCCCCTCAAAGCACAGCTTCCAGACCCATCCAAACTGGACCAAGACAGCAAAGGGGAAGCACATAAGTAGAAGAAAGTCAGCATCATCCTTCACCTGAAATTTAGGATCAGCTTTCTGGGACCCATCCCCCAGAAATGAACCAAAGACGGTGAAGTCATAAAGCCACCGTGTCATTGTTCCCACACGAGGGAAACTGGGTTCTGGAGAAGCAGCGTCTGGAATCTACTCTTTCTTCCCACGGGTTAGCCACAGTGACGCCGACTGCGGATTTTGCCACTTACACTTTTCTTTCATACACTAAACCTGGGCATTTTAAAGATAATCTTAACTGATTTTATTTCCTTTATATACTATTTATATATGTTTTAATATTAAACAATATTAGTGGTTCCACTGTATGTTCCAGATGGGTGGCCACGAGCAGGCCCCCTTTGCTTCAGTTTTCCCATCTGTGTAATGGGATGACAATGGTAATGCTCTTCTTAGGCTGCTGTGAGGATTAAATACATAAGGCACCTTGTGCCTGGCATAGCACAAGCATTCAATAATTGCTACGATGGCCTTTTAATTGTTATTATTATTATTTTGGATATTCTAGAGGGACTGATGTAGAATTTGGCAGAGGGGCTAAACTCCAGCCCCGCCCCCATCCTCAGTGCCCTACCCCCCCATGACAGACAGTGACTAGGCTCTGATCCCATCTCTGAAACCCTGGGCAAGTTCCAGCCACTCTGAGCCTCAATGTGCCCATCTGTGGAATGGACTGGTAAACATCCAACACGGCCCTGAGTGGGGCGATGGTGAGGATGAAGTAAGTGAAAGCATTTAGTTTTTAAAGCACAGTGTAAATGCAGGTGTGAGTCCTGAACAGCCTCCCCCATTGTCTGTGTCTCCCTCTTCTCTCACTCCCTAGTACTTACAGAACAACCCCAACACCAACAAATACGAGGGCTGGCCAGAGCTGCTGGAGCTGGAGGGCTGTGTGCCCAGGAAGATAGTCTAGGGCGGCTGCAGCTCCCCCCCGGGTTGCAGGTTGCTCGAGGTGGACTGGCTGGAGGAGAAGGACGGCGGGGACGAGGGACTGAGACCTGCTGCAGCATGGAGCGCTGAGGGTCCTTGCACTCTCTGCACGGCTGTGCACTTCCCCTTTTCAGAAACAAAAGCCTCACCTTCGACCTGGAGGTGGCCCGCCTCAGAGGGTTCTCCTGGGGCCACTGTCTGTGCAGAGAACAGGTGAACTTTTCCTCAGGGTCTCTGACTGTTGCCCCTGAGAAAGGATGGGCTGCCCACAGGAGCAGAATTAAACTTTATTATTGCTGATATTGAATGAACTTTCTGAAAACTCTGTGTGTATGTTCCTCCCTGCGACCGGAAAGGTCTAGATTGGGATTACCTGGGCTGCAAGTTTGAAAAGGGTGGTGACAGCTTCTGGCACCAGGTTTGCGGCTGGAAAGGAGGTTGACTTCATAGGGATCTCTGTTCAGGCACAAAAAACTCCGAGGTTCCCAGCGTAGGGTGTGAGACCCACGTGAACAGAGCCGAGGGCTGGATGCTGCACCTGCTGTTAGAGTGAGAGCTGGAGGAGACGGGGGGGGGGGGGGGGGGGGGGGGGAGTAGCTGGGAAAAAAGGCAGGCTTAGGGAGAACATTCTAGCTGTCTTTGAGAAGTTCCCTGGGGGCAGCCCCTGGGATTTATTTGGGAAGTGATTCTAGAAAACACCAATAGGAGCATGGGGAAGTAAGACAGGGAAGAGAAGGATCCAATAAAGGATGTGCTGTGAGTGAGCAGCACTAACCCGTGGGCACCCCTAGGAATCAGTGCAAGGCACACACCCTGAGATCTCTCAGGGACAGGCAGCATCTTTGTGCACCACCTCCCATCAGTCACTGTTGGAGGGCTGCTAGTGTGGGGGCTCACGGGAATTCCCAGGCCCTTCTCGTCTGCCCTTTGTAGAGAAGAGTAATCCTCTTAGCTTCACAGAGAGCCCTTAGCTGACAGGTGCTGATACCAGCCACCAGAGCCCACGGAAGTGATGAGGCCCAAGGGATATGGTGCTAAGACCCCATATGGGGTCCCTGAGAAGCACCAGGGGGCCCTAGACCAAATCCTGGGCACAGAGAGCACTAGCACTTGGGCTCCTGGAGTGTGTACCAGGCCCCAAGGCTCCCGGAGAAGATGCCCAGCCCCAGTCCAAAGGCCCAAGCAGTGGAACAGCAGAAGCTGAAGTCTCGTGCACGCCATTGGTGAGGGCTCCCAGTTCCCAGCCCTGGGGACAGGCAGGGCTTCAAATGTGCTGAGGGGATCTGGGGTAGAGACAAACAGAGCGTGGGAGCTTTGACAGGGGCCATGACGGGCTGGGACATGGGTTGCCATGGCAGCAGGGTCAAGATCAGTGGGAAAAGCCCGATGGAACCATGGAGCAGGCTTGGCTGACGAAGGAGCCCAGCCAGCCACCTGGCCAGTCCCACATCCCCCTCGTCCTCCAATCACTTCTAAATCACACTCAAGGGTTAAAAGTGGGGATTGCTCGCAGCCCCAACTAACCACTTAAACAGACACCCACATCAATAATGCCTGGCAGGTTTGCATAAGCAAACAAATTTGCTCCATTTTCTTCCAAGTGACCAGGCCCTCAAGCCCACACCAGACAGTGGGTATGAGCAAAGGGCCCCCACTGAACCCCAGTGTCTTCCTTCCCAACCCCAGAACTAATTGAGTAAAGCGGCATGGGGGGCTTCCGCAGGCCGAGGACCCTGACTGAGCCATCCTTCTCTCTCAGCTGACTCACTCCTGATCTGACCAGTGGTTACCAACTCTGGGCAGTGTGACCAACAGAAAGGCCAGCCAGGTGCTGGTCCTGCCGCTTGGTAGCTGGGTGAGCATGTCATGCCGCCTCTCTGAGACACAGTTCCCCCTGGTGAACGGGAGATGCTGTCGGTTCCTCAGGGGCTCCTGGGCATTAGATACGATAAAATAGCCACACCACCAAAAGTTGTCCAAAAGAGGAATAAATAAATAAATAAATAAATAAATAAATAAATAAATAATAAATAAATAACATCTGACCAGATACCCCTCTGGAATGAAGGTAGCAGGAAGTTTTCTTTACAGCCATAAACTATTTGAATTCTTTCCTTAACAAGCAAGGATGCCTTATTAAATTAGAAGAGAACTATAAGGATCGTCAACAAGAGTTCATGGCCAGGAGGTGGGCAAAGTTTTTGGCAAGGGTCTTACTGGGACCCCAATATCTTTTCTGAGTCCACCTGCCTATGTGCACTGGCCTGAAGAAATGCATATGCAGGAATCTGCAGCATAGAAAGAAAAAATAGTTTAATATTGAGTTGGCCAATACGGAGACAGTGAGCTCATGCTCTGAAGACTGGGCTCCCAGATGGCATGTAGGTTACAGGTTATGTGGGGCACAGTCACAAGGCACCTTGGGCTAGGGGTTCAGGAGCATGCTGGTTGCCGATTGGTTGGAGGTGAGGTGAGGGTGATGAATCTTCTCTTCAGGGTTCGAGGACAGTTCTTAGTCTGTCTGATCCCGTGGAAAAGTAACCAGGGGATCATTCCACCTTAGAGCTCAGGAGCTGAAACCTAGCTTAGGTCAAGATGCTATCTTTAGCCTGCCAGGGGTCCAGACCCTGTGACCTTTAGTCAGGTACCAGCTACTGTTTTCTGCTGCCTTGGGGGTTGCTGATTATGGAGGGAAAGGCCAGATCTCTGAAAGATATACATAGCTAGATGATAGATAGATAGATAGGTAGGTAGGTAGGTAGGTAGATAGATAGATAGATAGATAGATAGATAGATAGATAGATAGATAGATGATAGATAGACAGACATATAGATAGGTGGTAGATGATAGAGAGATAAATAGATAGATAGATGATTTCTAGAGCTAGAATTTAAAACTAAATTTAATCAAAGGCACAGGGACCCTCAGTTTTGGTGGCCATTATTTTAAAAGGATGTGGGTGGCGACCTGGTTGGAAGAGAAGACACACAGCACTTTACAGAAAACTGAAAATGTTGACTGGACGAGGCCGTGGGCACGGCCCCCGGATGGGACTTAACGGGGGTCTGGACTAGGAGACAAGACTGCTGGTCTGCAGAAATTGTTGTCATTAAAAGGTCCGTTCTCGACGAGGAAAGGCTCAGAGTGAGGACGCTGCACTTGCCACGGAGCCTGTGGGAGAGGCCACTTGCTGCCACTCGCTGGGGAACTCGAGGCTGAGACTGCAGGCGGTGGCTCAGCAGATCAGCCTCCAGATACAGTTTTGGAAAAACCCAACCGACCGTCAGCTGTACCACCAAAAGCCACCCAGGAGACCACATTCTAGAGGCAGCCGCCCTGGGTCCCCTGGGATGAGCGTTGCAGAGTGGCCAGCACCTGTCAGACTCAATATCATTTCCAGGGCACTATAGGAGCCCCCAGCTCAGCTCAGGATGGAGCCGGTCAGAGTCCAAGAAATGGCTGTAGACAGTAGGGAGTGGTCTGTACCACTGAGTCTATGACCCGTTAAGAGCCAGTTTCCTCACTCGACAGTTATTACTCACTCACTGGCTACGTGTCAGCACCAAGGCAGGCACTGGAGACACTGTGGTGAAGAAAACCAGGCACAGTCCTGGCACATAGTCTGGGGGGCAGGTGGGGACATAGATCAAGGGACAACGTGGCTTGGTAAGCATTTGTTGGGGGAAAGACTGCAGAATCAAGAAAGGCATGCTGGAGGAAGCCTCGGGAATGCACAGGAGTTCGCCAGGGAAGGAGGGGAAGGAGGCGTGTGCCAGGCGAGGGAACAGCAGGGACAAGGCCTGCAAGGGCAGCGGGCGGGCGAGGAGGGCTGAGCACGGGCTGAGCAAAGGGTTACCCACCTGTGGACCCTTTGTCCAGGGTCCACAAGGACACACTGAGAGATTTAAGCTGGGTAGCAGCATGATCAGATTTGCAGTTTTAGAGAAATTCCTCTTGGCTGCTGAGTGAAGAAATCAACAGAGGCGAGGAGGTGAGTAAGGAGGCTGGTCTCACCCAGGGAAAGAGGGTGGTGGCAGGGACCAGGCCATGGCATGGGGATGGAAAAGGGGGGCCAGTCCTAGGGACATTCAGGAAGTAAAATGAACAAGACTTGGGGACTGACATCATCGGGGAGGGTAAGACTTCAGGAATCTCTGCAAGTTACTCATGGCCTCAGAATCTGGGGCCTGTATTTCCCTACCCTCTTCTGGTCAACAAGTCTTTCTTTCCTCTCTCCCGGGGAGGGAGAATGGGCGGTGGGAGGAGTGTGTCCATCTATCTGTTCCCTCAGTCACGGCAAACTCTTAGCAGCGGCTGTAAGTCTAGTCCTTGCCAGTAGGTGGCAGCCCAAGACAGAGAGGCAAGAGTGGCCAGGCTCCTGGAGTCCACCCAGTTCTTGGGATTGGTTACGGTGGACTTGCCAATGGGCAGCAGACTTACCATCATGTTATTAACAGCATTGTAACAGCAGCACCTAACTTCTAGGGAGAACTGCTGTTGTCCAAAGATGCTCTGCGCAGAGTTTTCATACAGCACCTCATTTGATCCTGACAGCCCTGGGGTAGGCAACCGTTGTTTTTCCCTTTCACGCATGAGGAAAATGAAGCTCAGAGAGGTCAAGTGATTTGTCCAAAGTCACATAGCTAAGAAGCCTCAAAATAAGGACTGGAATCCTGTCACTACAGACGTCAGAAACACCTGCCCTAGAACTACTCTTCCGCCCTCTCCTCCCCTTCCTCCTCTGTCTCCTTCCCTTCCACTTCCTGCGGCTGCTGAAGACACCTGAAAATTGCTCAGAACCTTGGAATCAACATTCTCCAAATCCACCACCATTACTTTAAGGAGAGGTGGAGAGGGAGTGAGTTTGAGAGATGTGGAACTCTTCTTCAAAACCCTCCGAGTTTTCAGGCTTGCTTCCTTCTACAAGGCTATGGGTCAAGAAGGAGCAGGCGTCCACGCCCGTTATGGAGAAAGTGAAGCTGTGCCCAGGCCATGCTCTGAGACGGGGCAAAGCAGGACCTGGAACACCTACTGGTCCTTGACCCTTCGCCACCACCTGTCATTTCATAAACCATTGTGCCTGTGCTCCCAGCACCTCCTCCGCGCCAGGTCCCAGGCCAGGCTCTCAGACCACCCCCCCCCATCTTTCCTGCCCGAGGCACGGGGTTCAGATGTTGCATTTTGAATCCACATCCTGCCAACAGCCTAGATTCAGACTTTCAGCCAAATGAGGAACCCAGTCAACCAGGCTTTCAGTGCAGCTAGTAAGTCATATTTCAGCAGGACTCCAAGCAGATGGGGGGAAATTAATCAATGTGTAAAATCCCTTTACCTCCTCCCATCCCACCAAGAGCCACGCCAGTGGACACTGCTGGGACAGCTACCGAAGGAGCTTGGTCTCCGGGGCTTTGGCTGCTCTGGCCGATGGCCCATTTCATCTTTGCCCTTTACAGTTTGGGAGATGCTCTTCCAACTGCAGGAAATCAGAAGCCGTGCCCCAGCCATGACTGGAACGGAAAGAAAAGGGATGGGGAACAGCAGCAGCAGGGGCTGGACCCAGAAGAAGGGGCGGAAGGAAGAAGCCACAGTTTGCTCAGCTGTAGGGGGCGCGGGTGTTGAGGGAAACACAGCAACATCGGTAACGACAGGACGACAACAGTGAGGCGCCAGTGACAAGTCAGCGCTGTGTGAAGCGCTCTGCACACTTAGGCTGTTCGTCTAATCCTCCATCGCCTTCTCATCCGTTCAGCAACATTTCCTGAGTGGCCACACCCTGCCGTGACTGGGACAGACCAGGCCTCCGTCTCTGGGGGGCTGCCACTACAGGTGGAAAGACATGAACACAGAAACATTTCAGTCGCTGATAAATAAATAATAAACAGAAAACCCAGGATGCTGCTTTGCACAGGGGATCTGGGGAAGCTTCTACGAGGAAGTGATCATTGCCTGAAGGATAGAAAGATTATGCAATTTTCAAAAAATGGAGTCAAGGGGGAGAGATGGGAAATGTCCCAGGCGGAAAGGGCAGCAAGTCCAAAGGTCGTGAGGCAAGGGGAAAGGGGGTAAGATCTGGGACCTGTCAGGGGATCAGGTAAGAGGGAGGTGAGGTCAAGGGGAGAGCAGGACTTGAAGGATTACGTGTGGACAAGGTCATCTTGTGAACCATGGGCGAATAGGACCTAGGACACCTAACCCTTGACTCTTCACCACACTGCCATTTCATAAATTGTCACGATGCCCTCGGGCCAGGCACTGAGCCAGAAAAAAGGGAAGGGTACCTAGTTTCTCCCACCCAGCCTGTTCTTGGGTAAGGTGCTGAGTTTAATGGATTGGTTACCTGGAACTTGCCAATGGCAGAGGATTTATCAACAGCATTATAAACAGCATGGTAACAGCAGTACCCAACTTCTATGGGGAATTGCTGTTGTCCAAAGATGCTAGTGCAGAGTTTCATATGAATTGCCTCATTTTTTCCTCCCAGCCCCGTGGGGTGGGGCCATTGTTATCCCTCTTTGGGCAAGAGGAAGATTATAGAATGGGGAATGACGTGATCCGAGACACGCTTCGAGGAAAAAATGGCCTCAGCTACACACACCCTCCCCTTTCAGCCCTCAGAGCAACCCTGCGAGGAAAGATTGTCTGACCTCACACACAGACGAAGACACTGAGGCTCACAGAGGTTAAATCTTGTGCCCTGGGCCACACAACTGTGAGAAACAGAGCGGCTGCCAATGACATTCCAGCCTTAATCTTGCCCCGAGTTGGCGACACAGAGAAGGAAAGGGCTGGCTCGAGTGAGGAGGAGGGGACTACCAGGGGGTACTTTGAGAACTTGGCCCCCAGCCTGGAATCTGGCCTCCAGATATTTTCCTGGCCTGAGTTCAGAGCCGCCCTCCCGGCCGCTGCCCCTTGAATGGAGTAGTCTGCTGTCAGAGTCCGTGCTCCGGGAGAGCCCGGGCCACAGGCCACGAATGTCTTCAAAGACCTCTTATTAATGGCCTCTCCAACCTGAGGTTTACATCCCCACGCACCCCTCCAGCCCGGTGCACCGGCCGCCCCACGCAGCCTCCGCTCTCTGGGCCCCATCTGCGGAGCAGTGCCCAGCCTGGCAAGAAGGCCAAGTGCTTCCCCGCTGGGCCGGCCAGATGTCACCGCTGTGCCTGAGCTGCCTGCCGACTGCACGGCGAGAGGACTGCTTTGCTTCCCAATCCCAGCAGCCTCGGTTTCCCTTCTCGACAGAGAGGCGGAGGTCTAGGGGGTGACTGCCACAGAAACTCCCGGAGGCTGCGTGGGCCACCTGGGGACATCAGGCCCTGCTGTCAAGACCAATCGCCCTAAGCCTGTCTGAGGAGCTCCAGGCTTGGGAGCAGCTGTGAAAGCCTCCTTTGTGCCTGAGGAGAATGAGCTGCAAGAGGACCGGGGGCCCTGGCCCAGGGAACCCCTCTGGCCCCGGCTCCTGAGGCCAACACCAGCAGGGAGGACCCCCAGCCTGGCCCCCGAGGCCCACCCAGGCCTGGTGCCCACTCCGTGCCATGGGAGCCACCCAGGGAAAGAAGGTAGGAGCCCCAGAGGGTCCTGGTGGGGCCCTGGACACGGAAAGGGAGACTGGCTCTGCTGGGTGGGAGCCCTCACACACACGCCTGCCCGCTCCTGGGAGCCTCAGCCAGGCACTGCCCTCCGGTCTCCCTCCCTGAGCTCACAGCCAAGATTTACATCTAGAAACCTGGCTGGGGCTCCGGGCAAAGCCAGTGACTGATCTTTCTTCTCTGGAACAGACCTGGGGGCTGCCTGACCTCTCAGCAGCCCAACCTCGCATCCAAGGCTCTCTGCGTCCCGACACGCAGGCTCCCTGGCCGCCTCCGCATGTGCAGGGCAGTGTCGGCGCAGGTGGACACAGGAGCAAGATGAAAAACAAGGGGCATTATAATTAAGTTGGCTAACCGGTTGTTACCAGATATGGGGCTGTGGGCAAGTCATTGAAGCTTTCCGTGACTCATTTCCTCATCTGTAAAATGGGGGGGAGAGTAGTTACTACCTCAGAGGCTCGTAGTGAGAATTAAATGAATTAAAATATGTTAAATATTGAAAACAGTAGCTGGCACGTAGTGGGCTAAGTGTAAACTACACTTCATTATTATGAGAATGCCCTTAATATTGTTATCCAGAACTTTCTAAGTCTGGGCTGTCAGTTGGGGGGTTGTAGAAAGCACAGCCAGTGCCGTTTCGGAAAATGTGGTCTGTGGGCACTCTGCGCAGCGTGAGAGATGGCGTGTGGGAGGGGCCGCTTAAAAGGTCACCTTCTCTCCTTGGCCGGGGGGCTCCGTTGGTTGGAGCAGCGTCTTGTGCACCAGAAATGCTGTGGGTTTGATCCCCAGTCAGGGCACGTAAGAGAAGCTACCGATCAATGTTTCTCTCTCGCATCCATGTTTCTCTGTTTCTCTCTCACATCGATGTCTCTCTCTCCCCCCCATCACCGTCACCCCCTCCTCTCTCTCTGAGATTAATACCTACGTCCTCTGGTGAAGATTAAAAAAAATAGGTCACATTTTCAAGGCCCACCCAGACCTCGTGGATCAGATCCCCTGGGAATCCGAAGTTATTCACCAGCTCTGCAGCGATTCTTGCACATGCTCACAGCCCACATGGGCCCAGGGATGTGACCCCCGCAGTGTGGGCAGGCTGCCCGGGACCCCTCTGGATCTCAGCTCTGGGTCTGCAAAGTGGGGTGGTATCAGGAGGCCCCAATAAACAGGGGCTCTAATCTCCAAACAACCCATGACAACCTAGCACAGGAAAGCTAGGAAATGGTTCAAGTGCAGGCTTTTGGCCTCGTTCTTCTTGAATCCAAACTTTCCACCAACCCAGCACATCCCACATTTTTCCCACTTAAAGTAAAACACATCATGAACCTCATGAAGGAAGTTCTCTGGAGCTCAGTGTCCTCATTTGCAAAATGAGGTGGTTGGCCAGACGGCCCCTGGGAGCCTCCCAGTGCTAGTGTTGGCGCCTGCCCCCTCTGCGGCCCCCAACTGCATTTTCCTAAACACTTTCTGTCCTGGAGCTGTCTCTGCCCCAGGACAGAAGTGTCATAATACTCACTCCTGCCTCACTCCTGGCCAGGGTGGGTCCCCGGCAGCCGGGGCAGGTAGAGTATCTGACCCAGCCCCAAGGGAGTCCCAGAGCTGCCTTCCCAGGCCAGCCCTGACCCCAACCAGTCCACCCTTCCTGCTCCTCCCTCTCCCAGGGGAGAATGAGCTCAGTCTCTAGATCCTGTCTCTGCTGAATATGAATGTGGTGAGTCACCTCGGAGACCAGCTTCCTAGGCCTAGAAGAGACCCTAACAAGGTCTAACCCAGGAATAGCAAAATGTGTCTCCTGTCCTCCCTATTCCACTTCCCTCACCAGTGGCAGACATCGCAAATCAATCCCTGCACCCTTTCCACAAATCTAGACAGCCTCAGAATCCTTCTCAACACAGTATCTCAAGTCTCCCTCCCCCGTCCATCAGAACCAGCCCCCATTTGAAAACCATGACTGTCCTGGGCCCCGTCCCCTCCCCTGACTTCAGAGAAAAGCCCTCCAGGGAGAAGGCACCAGGGCACCACGAGTGAGGACCCGGGCTTGGAGGCAGACTGGCCCCAAGTCCGTTCCTCCACATCCTCTTCAACCCTGGGCAAGTAGCTGAGCCTCACATTCTGCCTCAATAAGCTAAAGATCCTTATCAGAGAGTTGTAAGACCTAAATGACATCATGCCTGGGACAAAACGGGCACTCAGTCAACGTCGTCTTTCCCTGAATTTAATCCTCTCACACTTGCACCCTCTTCTGAGCTCACAACTGTTCCTTTGAGCCACAGGGGCATTGACATCACCCCCAATGTCAGGTGGAAAAGCCGAGGCCGGCAAATGTGGCTTCCTCCGGCTGGTCAGCGGTGGAGCCAGCCTGGAGAAGGGCCCTGAGCACGTCCAGGCTGGACCCCCTCACCATCCCCAGCCTGTAAGCCCGCCCCTCCCCATAGTCCCAGCTCTCTCTCTCGCTCTCTCTCTCTCTCTCTATTTCTGGAGGCAACAGCCCCGCTGGCATCTGAGGGACATCTGTGACGAGCCTGGCCATGTGGAACTTACAAATGCCCCGCATCGGATCATTTATTCTCCCACTAGCTTGTCCCATGAGAGGCACTGTATGTCCTCAGACCCATTCCCACAGTTACAGCTTAGTCATAGCCATAAAATAAAAGCTCTGGAAAATCCTTGGTGACATGGTCCAATCTCCTCCCCCCCTCCCCCCATTACACAGCTGGGAAGACTGAGGCCCAGAGAGGGGAAGGACCTGCCTAGGGCAATGCAGCCAGGGCCAGGGCATCTCCACAATGCTTGACATCTCCGAGCCAAGTGCAGAACCCATAGGAAGGCCATGGTTCCCCTTCCCTGCACCTTGAAGGGAAGGACCTTGAAGGGCAGGACCGAGCTGCCCCTTGAAGATGACTCCTGCACACTAAGGCACTCTCCAGGTACATTACTGGCCACAGAATCTTCCTCTGCTCCCGCACCAGCCTCCCACAGCAAAAGCTCAAGGGGTACATGCTACCCTGTGCTGGGAGCTGGGCCCCTGCCCGCACGGCCTTCCCTGTTGGTTGGAGTGACTGAATGCAAACAAATAATGATAGTGACAGTGGAGATGGGTGTCACTGCTCATATGTTAGAGTCATCTCTAGCTGCAATGTAGGGACTGGGTATGAGGACTCCAGAAAGTAGACAGCTGTGGAAATCCCATAACTCAGATGTCTCATTCAGGATGTTGTCCACTACAAAGAATGGAAACCCCGGGTCCAGCTAGTTTGAACAATAAGGAAATGTACTGGGTTCTCTAAATGGAAGTTCAATGGCTCAATAACGTCTCCAGGACTTTTCCCAGAAGCCCCCAGCTAAGGTTCTATTGAATGTCATTGGCTCAAATCAGGTCATGCTGTCATTCCTGACTTGTCTCTGGGTTACTGGGTTTGACTGGAATCCTGAACCTGTTGCTGGCAAGGGATGGGAGTGACACTGTGTGACCAGAGCCCCTGTGAAGCTGGAGATCAGTTTCCCAGTGGCAGGGCTAGTGGGCAGTGGGAGGGGCCGGGTGGCTGCTGGGCATTTCATCATAATGCCCCACCCTGAGGAAGGGGCATCGCGTCTCTGACTTTGGGGTGAACAGAGAGAACGGAAAGAACTTGAAAGTTCATGGGTGTGGCACAAAGAGTGCGGAAGTCAGCACACAGACACACGGACATTGTACTCATCCCCATGAACTTCCCTTGACTTGGCGTTTTTTAATCCACAAAGTTGTTACCCTGGCCACTATCGGAATTTTTGTAAGAATCAAATGGTGGTATTCTCAATACATGGAAACAATGTCTCTGTTTGGAATATTCTAGAAGCTGCAAACACTGGCCAGTGCCCACATGTCGATACCGGGGCGGCGAGTGCAGGCAACATGTCCTGTTTTCAGCCCTCGCGTCACACAGTGAGGCCACAGCTCCCTGGGCAGCAGCGTGTCTAGAAAAAGCAACTGCTGTGGGTGCAGACACCAGCCACGCACTCACAGAGACCCCAGGGGCTGGGCACTCTGTCCCCAGCCCCTACTCAGCAGCCAGTGTCTCTCCCCCAAGAAGGGGGCAGGCCCAGGAGTTCCAAAGGCTATTCCCACGCAAGGTCAGCACCCCAGGCCGTGATCTTCATTCCATCCTTACAGAGGCTGATACTAAAGAAAGATACTAAATGATACCCTGATACTAAAATACATATATATATTACTGGTAATGGCTCATATGCATTGCAGCTTTTGCGCTAATCCTCTGACTGAATCTTCCAACGGCTCTTGGAGGTGGGTGCTTTTGTTACCCAAACAATCTGAGGCATGAAAGATTCATCAAGAGCCTCAGAGCCACCCAGCGAGAAAGTGGTGGAGTCAAGTTTTGAAGCGGGCCGTTTAAGGAGCCTGAGCTCAGCCAACAGACCTCAGTGTGGGTCTCACAAAAGTGGGCTCTTGAGAAGGCAGAACAGTGTTCAGGTCCCACCCGGGTCCCCTGTGGGGGCAACTTGCTTAACCTTTCTGAGCCTTAGTCTTCTCATCTGTCAGATGGGATAATGATTTCACCTGCCACACTGCGACGAGGTGAGGTGCCCGGCAAACAGCAGGTGCTCAGGGAGTGGCGGGTGGAATGGGTGTCGGCGCTGTGAAGCTGCAGGCGGCACCCCCGCAGAGGGGGGTCGGCTGTGCCCCTCAGTGCAACCCTCGAAGGCTTGGGCATTAGCATTCTCCACCAAATTCAACACACCCAGGCTTTTTATCTCCCTGAACAAATCCTGTGTCCCGATGGTTGATGTTTGTGAAGATGTTCACCGCTGTGCATTCAGCTTTGTTAAAGAAAGTCTCTTTGGATGAAGCAAATGGGAAAAGACATGGGCGATATGGCCAAATTGGGTGAATGGCCTGGAAGGCTGTGTTTGTTCCTACAGGGCCCAGAAGGCACGTGCGGCCGGGCCCGCAGGCTCCCCAGACGGTGATCCCGGCG